TTAGGGCCCAATAAGAGTAGGCATACGCTTATTAAGCCCATGTTTGACAATCATTCTTTCAAAAAAAAAAAAAAAAATTTATTCATTTTCAATCACCAATTTTCACAATAAAATATTTTTTACATAAATTCAAATTTTTTTCACATTCCCCAAAATTTATTATTCAAAAACTTATTCTATACATAATGACTATCAAACTGGAGCTAATTCAACCAACTACGGGCTTATCTAATATAAATAAAGGAATTTTATATCCGGGGTCCTAACTTAATATTTGGCATTTTAAGTCCCTAATCTTTTAATTTTGTAATATTTGAGTCTACAATCAACCATTTTGCCCTTAGATTTTAACTAATGCAAATTAAATAATTCTAACGAATAGAAAAAAAAAATGTTAAGAAATGAAAACGTGAAATAGAGGAGGAAAGTTGATGCACTCAATAATGCAAACTTTTTTTTTTTATTTTATTTTTACAAAAGCGATTACCTCTGCAGGAAATATATAATTATGCCAGCATTTCACGCTTCTTCAATTCTCAAATTTGAATACGAGCAATGAATAAAAATATGGATTATGCTACATGTACATTATGATATCTAGAAAGATGTCCGTAATGTACAAGTGAAATAACATCATTGATGGTTGAAAAAATAATTTTTTCAACCCTCCAATCATGAAATTTCACATGTACATTATGGACAACCCTTATGGATAATATAATGTACATGTAGAATTAACCTAAAAATATTAGCATTAACTACGAATCTGTTGCATGACAGTAACAATTTCCTTAATTTTTGTATCAATTTGTTCCAAGTGTTTGCGTGAAATTAATCAATGTATAGAATTTGTATATATACATAATGAATGATCTCAACACAATTAATGAGGTAAAATTTCATATTCAGAACCTGTTTGACAACAATTATTTTCAAAATCTTTATTTTACCTACTTATTTAACCATACATTCATATAATAAAATATTTTGAATGTAAACTCAAATTTTTTTTCCTATTTTTAATTATATATTCTTCAAAAATTCATTAGTCAAAACATTATTATTTTTTCAAATAAATTCAATCAAACAAGGGCTCAGATTTCTGCAAAATTGATCTGAAAAAGGAAAAAAAAATCCATCAAACCTCACACAATCACCATAACTTCTAATTAATAAATTTATCTTTGAAAAAAAAAGAAGAAGATAAAATCATCGTCTTTATGAAATTTTTGAATTTTTAATGAAAGATAAAATAAAATTTCTATTGAGACTTGAATGCTACAAATAAATATAGTTGGAGAATTTAATCGCCAAATTACTAGGTCGACGATCTACTTGATACACTTTCAATAGGTTGGAGTTTTTCAACTATAATTTTTCATTATCACCCGTCATTGATCGTCGGGTGATATCACGATTTACTCATCGAATTTCAAGATACTTCTCAATGATCATTGAACTTTAGGTTGTTGTGCTCTATCATTGGACAAATTCTGTTTCACTTGAAGTTGACTCGTGGATGATAAATTCTAGGAAAAATTGCAGTAGCGATTCCTAACATTTTTATTTTTTGTAGACTTTATCCTAACCTTCAATTTGTACCAGCAACAGTTTATAACCTTTCATAAATATACGCTTGAGGTCTATCTGAACGAAAGTAGTCCAAAATATCATCAGTTGACTGGACAAATTAAAGAATCAACATCCAATAAAATCGTCCAAAAAGGCATCAGCATCCAATAAAATCGTCGCGATATCAGATAATTTAAGGAATTTTTCCGATCAACTAACGATGTTTTGAATGATTTTCGTCCAGATGGACCTTAGGCATATTTATGAACGGTTAAGAACCTTTGCTAGTACAAAATGAAGGTTACGGTAAAGTCTACAAAAAATGAAAAGATTAGGGACCGTTGCTGCAATTTTTCCTAAATTCTAATTTCTAAGGGAAAAAGAAAAAGGAAAAAAGAAAAAATCAGATGCCAACGCGCCACCTCATGAAATTCAAACATGCCTTTCCTTTTTAAAAACCAAAAACGACTTCGTTCACGCTGAACTCCCAAAATCCTAGAACAATTGAAGTTCCCCCAATGCACACCCCAAATCAATCGAACGCCCTAACTTCCAAATCGAATTTGCCCTCCCATCGAAGGCCACCAAATCCAAGTTGGCGGCCAGAGAAGCAGAAATCAGTTTATTTTGCAGGACCACACCCAAAACCCAGTTGATTCCTCTCTATATCTTGCTCTTTTTTTACCCGAGAACGGCAGTGATGGACTCGGATAATTCGTCGCATACGGGGTCTCCTAACCCGGACTTCGCGTTCGCCTTCAAAAACAGCCACTTCTCGGACGCGGAAGCATCCGTTTCGCTCGAGACTCGACCTGAGTCTCAGGTTTGCCATACCCTCTCCGACTGGGAGCGCAAGAGCAAGCGTCACAGAGGCGACGTCGCCAAGAAGGAAAATGGTAAGTGAGTTATTGTACAGTCAACATGTATACAAACAGTATACGTACATGTGCATAATACATTATGGGGTATTGAATGATTAATTTTGATTTTGATTCAATTTTTGTTGTCATAGTGAATATACATGTTGTTTTGTAGCCTATGTAACAATGAATTGGACATAACGTTCACGGTTCACCACATATTTCACGGAGATATTTTTTTTTTTAATCTTGAGGGTTTTATGTAATGTTAACGTCTACCATTCTCTTATTGAAATTTGTGGTCTGATCTCTTATATTTAGTTGTTTTACTTTTTATTTTTTATTTTTTTATTTACTTAGAAAAATTGTGTTTTGCAGTCTGCAGTTTCTTCAAAAAGCCATCCCAGGGAAAAAAACTTCTGAAAAAGGATTGATCTGGAAGAGGTGGAGAATGAGGGTGAAGATTCTAAAGCTGCGAATAAGAAGAAGCCCACTGACAATAATCTAACAAAAGTCCCAGTTTTTGAATACACGTATTCTAAAGAAATTCAAGTTCATAATGATAGCAGAGCAACAGCGGTGTTGGAAACTGAGATGGACTTCTCTATAGATGCGCGGGCTATTAGGGAGAGGGTTCTAAAGAAGTCAGAGGAAGCTTTAAAACGGAGGAAAAAGAGCGAGGGCAATGAAAAGTTGTATAAGGGGATACATGGGTATACTGATTACAAGGCAGGGTTCCGAAGAGAGCACACGGTTGCCAGTGAGAAAGTTGGTGGATCTCACGGACCTTTGAGGGCTTCTGCCCTCATTAGAGTTTCCACAAGATTTGACTATCAGCCGGATGTTTGTAAAGATTATAAAGAAACTGGTTATTGTGGTTATGGAGATTCATGCAAGTTTATGCATGACAGGGGGGATTACAAGTCTGGTTGGCAGCTTGAGAATGAGTGGAATGAAAGAGAGAAGGCAAGAGAAAAAGCTTTGGCTTTGAGAATGAAGGATGATGATGAGGGGGATGCTGAGACGAGTGATGAAGATGATGGTGATGATTCACTGCCATTTGCATGTTTTATTTGTAGGGAGCCTTTTGTAGATCCTGTTGAGACCAAGTGCAAGCACTACTTCTGTGAGCATTGTGCATTGAAGGTAAGAGATTATTTACATCTTTTTATTTTTAATATTCTCATATTCATTTCTTGAATTTTCTTGGGGGACAATCAGCAGATAAACATAAACGTCAAACCTTCCATACAATGGTTAATCTCTATCCCTAGAGAGTCTGTGCATCTGGCTTGAAAAAGCTCAGAGTTGTCTATCATAACCTGTTGCTTCCATTATGTAGTTTGAGTTTGAAAAAATTATGATGAGAGTGCTGCATTTTGTCATCAATGTTCGATTCCCTTGGTTTAATTTCAACCTTTTGAACTGTAGTCACAATTTGTATGGGATGAAGTCAATCAATTATAATGGCAATCCTCGACCCCACCCCAGAAAAAAAGAACAAAAGAAAAAAGGGTAAAGGAACTACATGAAAAATTAAGTACATATCAAATTTAATTCTTAGTACTCTTGACTTCAGTTCATTGTTTGTATTATCATGCAATAAGTAGTGCCTGAAACTTTAAAAAAGAGGGTACATTTCTCGTTTATGTTATCTAATTATGACTTTATTTCTTTGTTTCCATCACCATGCAAAATGTAAAAAGTGCTTCGTGTGCAACCAGCTGACCAATGGTATATTTAATACAGCTTTTGAGCTACGCAAGAAAATGGCTGAAAGGAAATGATGGGTCCAAGGATACACCATAATAATTTTGAAGTTCCAAGTGTTCTCTCTTTATTACAAGTTTTCTTTCTGCAAGACATTTCTTTTCAACACGGGTTTGTATTTGACAGCTTTGTAATGGATTACTGTTGAACCTCTGCATCTTTTTTGCTGATGCAAAATTCAATTTTTGTAAACCATATGGATCACTAGGTCACTCAGTAACGAAGGTTGATAGTGTTTATATTTCTAACAAATAGTGTTGCAAATGCCTTTCTTATTTTAGTTGTCTTTGTAATGCACGACCGTGGTCTTCAAAATGAAATGCCTCCCTCACCTTTAAGAAGTAAGCTTCACCCCCTAAATCATTATCATTGCTTGGAAAGCTCTTTTGAATTTTCAATGTATTACAGTTACGCCAATAGGGATGATATGATAATGCTATTCAATAACGCCAATAGAGATGATATAATAGTGTTAGGGCTGCGACTGTGACCCTTTTATATATCTTGAGATGTATGACCAACACGCTCAAGAAGTTTATAGTGGAGCTCAAAGTTAAAAGTCTTGGAGGAAAACTGGCTGTTGGTGGATTACCAAGATTGTTATTTGCATGGGTATGGACTGGGATTCATTGTACAATTTTCTTCATGACATATAGCTAAAGCTAAGACACGATATTTTACACTATGCAGCATTCTTGGTCTTGCATGATTTGTTTATTTTTATTTTTATTTTTATTTTTATTTTTTTTTAACTCTTACTACAATCTTGAGAATTGTAGAACTTTATTTGCGGTAGGATAATATATTTAACTGGTATCACATATTATATCAACATTATTGACAAACAATTCATACAATCACCCACTGATAAACAAGATTCTGGACATTATCATATTTACAAGATTCAAGAAAAATTGAATCCGATATCATGCTCTTCCGAACTGGACTTGATAGCCGGAAAAAAGGTTTAGACACCAGTCATGATTTTCTTTGCCACCAGCCTATCTTCGAAACTAGGTTTGTGGACCCATGCATGTGGGGAATGTGAGGTTAATAATGGCCACAGTTGGTTCCTCTGTTCTCTTGCTTTTTTAACGACAAGCCTTGTATGTTGTCTGATAACATCATTCACTGCCTTCAGATAATTGCTTGATTCATGGTCCCTAATGATTGTACCATCAGAACCGTAGGCTTTGGGATCACTCAAAGTTTCCAGTGGATGCGGAGAATTTAGGAATGCTCGAAGAGCTCTCTTGGTAAGGGTGCAGTCGGTATTTTCCAAGGCATATAAAGCACTGCCTGGAGGAAGTAAAGGATGAGGAGGAGATGACTTCTCATCAGGCTGCAGAATAAATATTTTCCCAACAGGAGAATATAGTAGTTTCTGCTAAGAATTATGACATTTTGCAGGAAAAGTTAGATATGTTGGCAAAGCTAAAATTTGAAATGTTAATAGCAATTGATAATGTGCGCAGGAATTTGTGTCATCATCTTATCATTTGTCCCAAATTTAGCAAGTTAACAGATAAGGCACTTACATTTTTCTTTAGACAAGGATGGGACCTAAAGGTGCCATTTAGACGCTTCAGGACTTGAGCTGCATAATCAGGGTAGGTGCAGGAGAATGCTCTCGGGACTATATCTCTGTGCATCATCACAGAGTATACATGATTTTCGTCCAAGCCCAACTTATCGAGGACTTTCTGACCATTACAGAAGACAAATGGTGACCCAAAAGTGACAACTGGTAGAAGAGCGGATGGCTTAACTACCTTTCTTGTTAGTAGAATCAAGTTGACTAGAAGAGCAAGACTTCCCCCTAGAGAATGGCCAGTAAACTGAAGCTTTGCTCTTTCCCCAAATTTATTCAAATGCTGCATTATTTCAGGCATGAACTGCTCATATATTCCCTTTGCAGCTTCATATATTCCTCTATGAACTGGCACATCTGTTCCCTGTTAGAGATGAAAATACTATGGATGATTCTGCTTCTCTTTCCTCAGAGATCTCTCAACTATTCAGAGGAAAATTTTGAAAAGTCTTACCTCAAATTTAGTGGGTTCAAAAAAGAGATTTGCCTGCCATGATGCCAATGTGTCCGATCCCTGGAATTCATCGACCACTAGCTTATCAAGCTACGGGCAACACTCTCAACTTGACCTCTCTTGAATTTTAAAGTAATGTTGTATGGTTCTATGACCGCACAGGTAGTCTCTTTGAATTTCATTTTTTCACATTATTTCTACTATATTTCATCAGTCAATATTTCTATTCAAAGTCGGTGGTGTGAATGCAATCTTGGATAGTATAGTCATTACCTGGATAACAAAACAGCGAGTGTATATCTTTGAATCATCACAAACAAACCATTCACAAGGAGAGGAATGAAATGACTGAAGATCTCTTGCTGCCTCTTGTTTTTGCTTCTCATCTCCAGCAACAACTGCTGTCATTGTTGAAGCTGCTACACATGCAGCCATTTCTGATTTGTGTTGTTGGATCACACTTTCTTCATCCCTTACTTGGTACTCATCTCTTCCCCCTAAAGAAACATCAACTGTAAGTTGGGGTTCAAACCCAGAGGATATCAGGTCCTTAGCACGAGATTGGAGATAAGATGCAGCTGCCACTGCAATTTCATAAGCAGCAGATGAACGAGTGTAGCGTCTTTGTTCAGAATTTTCCTTTTTTCCTGAAAGAGGACCAGTAATTGCAGGTGTTGCAACAGGTGCACTAGTGAAATCCTGCTCAATTTTGGCTCTGATAGCTGCTGTCTCTGCCTTCTTTTCCAGGGAGGATGTTACGAATTCTAAGCCACAATATCTCCTTAAATCCCTGGACTGCACGTTTTTGAAAGAAAGTTAATTTACATTATTTAATGGTAAGCAATTCAACTAGGTTCAGGTATTAACTTCTCAAGGCATAGTATAAACTCTTTCTGGATTATAGTTCTCTAAAAGAAGGAGATGAAACAAAATAAAATAGCAATTAGAGGGCTTAAAAGATTATTATTTTGCTGCTTCTATTCTTGATGTTTTCTATTGTAAAAGTTCGTTTTTGAGGAATGCCCTTTATTTTCTTTATCTTGTTGAGATTTCCTTCGACATGATTGTTGTGACGAGCTTAACTGTTCTAGATTGTGCTGATATAATAGAGTTGGTTAAGAAAAGTACAAGGGTGGGACAGCGCCCCTGCGGGGACCACAGTGCTGCCCGAAGGACATGGCTGCAGATTTTGATTCAGACTGATACTGGGGAATGTTTGCCGGTGACCTATCCTGATGCTCCAGAAGCTGAAAGAAATGGACAGCATATATTTACAACGAAGACTAGTTGCAGATGGGCAATATGCACCATTTTGGGCGTGCAGAAGTGGAAGAATATGAAAGAAAGGGGAGAATGAGTCCAAGGCTCGTTCTTTCAGGCATGCTTCTTTGTGTTATATAGGTGAATTCTTTTTATCAAAATGCTAGTCAATTCTATTGTAGACGGGGAATTTTAGGTAGCCAAACATTTGTGGCATGTTTGGTAAGGGGATCGGACAAGACTAGACCGTATTATGAAAGAAAAAGAAGTTAAAATCCCATCAAAAGTATTGTCTAGTTTTGTTCAGTACTCTGTAAGTGCACGTATGGTGCATTCAATAAACATACCTTGATATCTGGAATCACGTACGCCCTATTAGACAGGAAGGCCAGCTGAGAAAATAGTTTAGTATCTGACCAGGACACATGCTTCAACAATGCTGAGAATGTGTCTCTATCAATGTCCTCATCCACTTCATCGTCTCCATAATCCGTTTCACAACCACCATCTTCATAACAATCTCTCTCATTTTCTTGGTCAACATTTCGTTCAACCTTCAGTTGTTTATCTTTCCAGTTATTTCGGATTTCTAGAAGTTTTTCGACCCAATTCACTCTCTTCTTCTCCACATCCATCTCCTCATCGTTACCTGCTTCTATAAACTTCTGCTCCACATTTCTCTCTCTCTCCGTTTCTGGATCAAACAAAAATGATCGAAGAGTATCTGATAACGGGATATTGAAGAAGCTCATTGAACGGCTGTTCTTTAGCTTCGGTTCTGTCATACGACTTTTATAACAACAGAGCTGGTTTTCTGAGTACGATCTTCGCATTCCCGTTCTCTGACACAAATCTTTACTCGAAAATGACCGACGAAGCCTGCCTTCTTGAAACACATTGTTGGTGGCATTGGTAATTTGAGAGCTCGTTATGGATGACAAATTGCATGCCATGTCTGCAGATGTTTCTCACAGGTGTCGTGTCGTACCTTAGAAAACTAGAACAGCTTATTATTCTTGTACACAAGAAATAACAAAAGTGAAACCTAATTTCGTCTCCCGACAACGGGAATTCAACTTGGTGGTTGGAGAAAGCAACACTCTACATAAATTCAACTTTTTTGTCATAAATGAGAAGTCTTTGACATTTCTTGGAATCATCGTATCGTGTGTGAACGATTTTCTACCCTCTGACTAAAATTAACTATGGGTTTGATTCTAGCACTCAATTTATATATACATAACATGTAAGTATAGGTTGTGCTGTGATCAACACCATACAATCGTACCCAAATTTCATAGCTTATGATCTGCTATTTCGATCATGGTTTCCTACTTACATTAATTTATAATCACCTCTCTCCGGTAGGAAGGAATTTGGTGGCACAACTTATTTGTGGAGAAAAAGTGGCCGCATAGAGAGAGTGATTTTCAAAACTAAATTAAAAAGCACAATCTTCAATCAGAAACAGAACAAAATCCATTCTCTCAACTGAGAATACTTAACGATTAATAGAAGAAAACGTAACCAAACTACATAATTAATTACCTTGAAACTTTTGACGATTTTAAGGTGGCCAAATAATTAATTAATTCATGAGTGGATTCTTGAAGCTCCTTGCATCGATGTGTTTCCTCAGAAAATGGCTAGAAATCTTTGTAGTTTATGCTGCAATAAAGTTTCAAGAAATGGAAGCAGAAATTCTTGAGAGATCCTAATATCGATGTAAGAGTTCCACATACAATGTGCGTATATATGGGAGGTCTTTTGCAGAGATTTGCATGTATATTCAGACAAGTTTGTGGGATATGTTCATGTTATTATATACATGCATTCTTAATTTCTCTGAACAGTTGGTTTCTGGGATGGTGAGATCTAATTTGATCTACATATGCATATGCCACATGTTGTTTTGAGGGTTAGGGGGTGGCGTGGAGTGTGGTGGACAAGGGGGAAGAATCACCTGACAAGGAATTTACTCACATAGATATCAACGCTTATTCTATTTTTGGACGTATTTGCCCTCGAGAAAAATGGAATTTCCTACAAGTCCAACTAAATATATAAAAGGATTTTGTTCTTTATTATTATTATTATTATTTTCATTTGCCGTTGATAGGAAATTAAGTACCATTTGACATGATTTTTGCTTTTGTTTATACTTATTTTAGAAGAGCTTCTTGAGGGTTATCTTAGGGCTCGTTTGATAACATCAAACGCTTTTAAAATGTCAAAAGTTGATTTGACACTAAGAAATTGCTTTTGAACCAATTTGAATAATTTTTTGGAAGTGTTCTCTAAAAGAGCTTTAAGAAGAAATTGACTTAAGTTAACTTTTATAAAAAAGTAAAAGCAAAAGCAAAAGTAAAAGTAAAAGCATTGCTAATGAAACCTTAGAGAAATTCTTAAAAAAATTTCTAAACAAAGCATTTTTAAAAGATTATTCAAACAGGTTAAAAAGCAAATTCATAATTTCAACAGCAGCTTTTGACTTTTTAAAAGTTTTGCCAAACGAGANAAAAAAAAAAAAAAACTGCTTTATGAACATTACTTAATTTTACTTTAAAGAGATCAAAACATTTTAACTCTGTTCAAAAGTCGAATAATAGAATAACGAAGTTTGTGATAGAATAAGTCAATTATCAACTACTAATTTCAATAAATGCTAGTGCCATTGGCTCATTGCTATGCTTACTTTGAAAAGGAAATTGTCATTTGGGCTTAGTAGACTTGTTTGTACTTTTAAGTACTGAGAAGGGCATTTTAGGCATCCAAGAAAACAGTGGCAGTTGAGAGATTTTAAAGGATAATTAAAAGGGAAGGGCATTTTTGTCAATTAAGAAAGTGAATCACTAGCCAAATGTGCGGTTGCATGGAGAAGAGTAACGCCACCTCTTGCCACATGGATGGCCAGCCTCTCCTTTCACCGCCTGTTTTGAGACCCGATTCCAGCGGCGTTCGGAAGGCTGGCATTGGAAAAATCTTCTCATTTATTTTTTGGACCGTTTACTTTGGTCAACTGCTTAAATTTAGAGATTAGTTCTCGCAATACCTAAAATAATTTATTATAGACGCATAATTGAATCATTCAGGTCCATGTAATTATCGTTAATCGAATTCAAACTTGAACAGTATCAATAGTTGAAAAATTATGAATCGACAATACAAATTATTTTTTCAGTATTTAGCAGAAGTAGAATAAATAAAATATGGCATTTTACTAAACCTTTATGATTTCAATCAATAACTTGGAAGAAAGTCCCAAACTCGTAGTCAAGTCCAAGTTCAAAATTGTATATGACTAAGGTGTCCCGTTGACAAGTACAATGTGTTCCGCTTCATTTATATGGATTATGTTATTTATACATAAAAATTATATATAAGAGATTACATAAAATGATGTGGAAGGAAAAAAATTGGCTGAAAAAGTTAACTGTATTTTAAACTGATAAATAACGGAATGACATGTAACATTAAATAATTCATTTATATTTAGGTGATGTTACATGTACACTTTCTGGTACATAATGTTTTACACTCCTCATATGTAGCGGGTTTTGTACATAATTTATTATGCGTGAGTCTCTCTCCATATAGGGGGATATAATCTATTATGTACACCAGAAGTGTAAAAGTAGTATTATGCTTTATAATTTCAAATTTTCTTTGATCAGATTGATAATTTGAATTTGAATTTAAATTTTTATTCATTTGTTTAAATAGATAAAAATTAAGTATATGAATTATAATGTTTATCCTAGCCAACAGGAGAAAATTAGATGAAGTTTGTGAAGCCCAAATTGCATGTTAGCAATGTGTGGGTTGCCCGGGGGGGGGGGGGGGGGGGGGGGGGGGGGAGGGGGGGGGGGGGTGGGGGGGGGGGGGGGGGGGGGAGGGTGTTGACTCTCCATCATCACCTCATCGGGGACTTTCAGTAGGTAGAGCGAGGAAGTAGCAGGATTTATAAGGGACGGAGATTTAAATTTCGTTTTTATCGTCTCATTTACATGTATTTATTTAATTTTTTAATATACTTTTTATTTTTTAAATGCATTTCAAATATAAACACATAAAATAAATTAAATTAAAATAAAAACAATAGTCAAGTGGGGATCATGTTCCCCGCTCTCGTTCCATTCCCCCAAACACTCAATTTCAACTCATTCCGACACCGTCGCGAAAAATGATGAAATTGCCCCCGGCGCGATTTTTGTTTCCAATCAACCTGCCAAATTTCGGCCCATTTCGACACCGTCGCGAAAAATGATGAAATTGCCCCCGGCGCGATTTTTGTTTCCAATCAACCTGCCAAATTTCGGCCCATTTCGACACCGTCGCGAAAAATGATGAAATTGCCCCCGGCGCGATTTTTGTTTCCAATCAACCTGCCAAATTTTAGTCCATTCCGACACCGTCACGAAAAATGACGAAATTGACAACATGAAGCAAGAGGAAGAGAAACTAGATCGGATCATTTTGTTATCCCTAAAGTAACATACATACATCGGCCATAAAGAATCTTTGGACCGCTAAGCCTATTAACCCACACTGTTACAATCCACTTAGTAAGTGGCCAAAAGTCCAGATTTATTCCAGGGTCCAATCTAATCCATTTCCCTCAATTGATCCCATTCTCAAACTTATCACTTGGATGCATCGTATAATGGTAGTTGCCACACGTACATCTGAGTTTACACATCCCTCATATGGAGGAGGCTTAGACCCTCTTGGCCCAACTCTGGACACTCTAAATTTTTTTTTTTCAAATCTGCTCCTATTTCGAGTTAAGAGATAGATAAATAGACATATCTCACTGTGCCCTCCTTGTGAGGGGGTGTAAAAATAACATTTTTCTTGCATAATTTATTCAAAGTAATGCTATTTGTACATAATGATTTATAAATTGATAATGTGGATATATTAACTTAATTTATTTTCTTTTATCCCCCCCCCCCCCCCCCCTCTCTCTCTTCCACATTTTCAATCTATAAATTAATTTGCACACAATTATGTACAAATATTATTGCTCTTTATTCAATATGTAATAAGGAAATTGAGGTAAATACTTGTAAAACAATAAGGCTTGATCTCATCTATTTTTTACTTGGATGTCACGTCGAATAATTCTTTTAATGTTTAAGCCCCATTTTGAGAAGAAAATGTATTTTGAAATAGTAAATTGATGGAGAACTATTATGAGATGAAAATAAGTTTATGTCAGGTCCCTATTTTCTAAAACTCCTTTTTTCTTTTTCTTTTTTTTTTCTCAATTTCATTTTCAATTATAGGATTTTATTGAACTCACAACTTTATCAACTTTTCAATATTACATTTAATTAATTTTTATTCAAATCTTCTATAAAATTTATTTTTAGCTAAACTAAACAGGAACCAAGTATTCAAAATAGAAAATTCACTCAAATAACTGTTTGTACGAAAGATATACACATAACATGATTTTATTTTTATTTATTTATTTTTTTTTTATTTTTTGCGGGGGAGCGTGTGTCGATAAAGTTGTATCGCCCGAACGAGAAAGAAGAGGGAAATCCACATTTTTGTTTGTTAAATCACACGAAAAAAGTTATGAGATCATGTGTAAAATTCATCATTGATAATAAATTTAAAAAAATATAATTTATAAATAAATTGTGTCAAGTCAGTTCTCGATCTTTTTGATTGAACCGATGAAGAGTCCAAATTGCCGAAGAAGGAATATGATTTCATGGACTCAAAAAGCAATTATTTCGAATAAGTTAAGCACAAGTTATTAAAGTTGAAAGAATTTAATAATTAAATGAGTTGATTAAGGATTTAAAAATTTTGGCAACCGTATAAGATAATTAATTATCATATTTTGATAATTTTAATTTTAATCTTAATTGGATTATGATGAAGTAATATTAATCCTAATTAAACTAAAATAGATTTATTTTCTACATCCCCAAATCATTCTTTATTTTTGCGTTTCCTTTTTCTAAAATTCCATTGGAGGATTATTTATGAAGCTAATTTAAATTACATTGATAAGTAATGGCAAATCCATTATTGATAATTAATACAATTCTTGTAGTTAATCCCAAATCCAATTTGATTAGGATAACTTTAAAACTACGTCTAAATCAATTAGGATTCAACGGTTGATCCATACTATAAACATGCCATTAGATTAATCAAAGTCTTACATCAAAATTTTCTCCATCATATATTTTCTTTTAGTAAAACGAAGTCATAAGTCATACTATTTGTTTATTTTGAAGTCGGAAAACATGCAGATAATTTGCATCCATTTGAAATTATTTTCAAATCATACACGTGCTCATATTCATCAAGGTGGATATTTTGAGAAAAGGATTTGGAACATGCAGTCATATTTTTCTCTTCCAAAAAATTCATTTGATCTATCAAGGTGGGATAACGGAGTGCCGTTGTTTTTATCTCGTTTAAATTATTTTTCTATGTTATTGAATTATTATATTTATGAAAGTTAAAGAATGATATGATATGGTCATTCAGTACCAAAGATATGATATGTAATGAGCTTTCACCGGTCTCTAAAAATATGATGATGATATGATATTTTTTACGCATGATTTAAATATTTTTCTTTAGGATTATACCATTATTTTCGTGTTCTACTAAGTATTCTCATATACTTACCATTTTTCCCAACTTCTCACAGTTTAGAACAGGTCGTTGGTTGGCGGACGATAAGGTCCAGTCGTGGTGCCAGGATTTTTGGAACTCAATAAAAATAATCCTATGTAATTTGACTATGGATTTATTTTCAGCATTATTTTGGTTTTATTAAAATGTGGATCTTGTTATTTAGGATTTGGAACATATTTTAATTGGTTGTGTTTCCTATATGTTTATTTAATATTGGCTGAACAAAAAATTCATGTGGTAATGTTTGATTTATTTATTTAATTCTGTAATGA